GTAACAGCACTTGCTACACAAGGGGTTGTGAGGATCAGACGAGATGATCTCTGGGGAGCTCTTAGAACAGTGACTCCTAGATGACAGTGAATATAAGCCTCCAGTAAGAGAACAGTGCCAGGGTGACAATGTTTATATGGCACTAGTGACATTTGTGGCTGGAACATTCTGTGGTGAGGGCATCTGTCCCGTGCTTTGTAGCACGTTTAGTGGCATCCCTGGCCTCTACTCACTAGAGGCCACCCCACCTCAAGATAAACATTTTTTAAAAAAACAGATAAAATTTTTCATTTTATTGTGAAAAAAAATTGTCTAAATATTTAATTGGCCCCAGGGGTTGAGAACCACTACTTTACAGGAAAAATGTGGAGAGTCCCAGCTGGAATACTGGGCTCCTCTCCTGGCTGCGGCCCAGTGGGTGAGGCTGGGGTCTTTTCCCCTCACCTACTAAGGTGCCCCCCATGCCAGCCCCAAGTCACTAGTGGGAGCACCCAGAGTGGCAGGTTAAGAGCGGTCGGTGAGGTGGGCATTTCTGCGGATGGTAAGGGGTTGGGGGGGGTTCATCATTTTTTTCTTTGATGATTAAGAAAGCAGGGTAGGAAGGAGAGGGAAGAGCAGAGGCAAATGGGGTTTCCCATCTCCATCCCTCTGGTCTCCCTGCATGAGGAGCATCTGCAGCCCCTTAGGTGGCAGGGTAGGGTCTTCTTTCCCCTGGGGTGGAGTGTGGTCTCTCCTCTTCCCTTTTTTCTGCACCCTTTGGGCAAACAAGGGTGAGGTGAGCAGTGGGAACCAGGCTCTGGGGCCATAAGCAGGAGGTGCTGCAGTGGGAGGGGATAAGGCGTGGAAGCAGGGGAAGGCATGGAGGTACACCAAGGGGTACGGACAACTTTCTGGGTGTCCCTTGGACACAGCAGGGGACAAACTGGATTGAACTGTCCCCAAAGCTTCCTGATGCCATGACCTTGAATAAAGTCCCCCTCTCATTCTGCTTACTCTTCACCAACTTTTGGACCTGCATTTCCCCACTTTATCCATCTATTTGTTAAATGAGTAAGGGCCTAATACCTGTTGTATGTCTAGCACTCTATAATAAAGTTCCCAAGGATGTTTTTGTTTTTGAGTGATTCCTTTTCAAGGTGGGAGTAAGGAAGATACTATCTAACTAAATAAGGTGGCATAGTCCAGTTGTAAAACTATCGTGTTTAATTAGAAAACTAACACATGTTGGTATACACAGCTGTGGAGCCACTCAAACCATACATATAAATGCTGAGGGAAGGTGGGATAGAACACAATTTCTTAAAATTTTCAACAAATGTGCTTCACAAGCTGATAAAGGGTGAAGGAAAATTCAGCCTAAACAAAGAGCACCAAAATCCTATTACATCCCCAGGCTGGCACTGCCATCAAAGGACATGTGGGTCAAAGAATATGTTCAACAGGAGGGGCTCTTTTTCCAATTGGAATTAATCTGACCCTTCCTCAACCAAACCAATTCTACATTTTTTTCTTGGGATTTGTGGGAATAATCCATTTCTTTTGTTCTTGTCAGGAGAGCTGTTCCTGATACTAGAAACCACTTAAAAGCCACGCCTTTCTCCAATGGGCATGTACAGAGGATGCCTGTGCCCAGGCTGGGCCACACAGTCCTGGGCCACTCATCCAAAAACCAGCAAAGCCAATAAGCCCCTCCCCCAGATTGTCCAAAGACAACCACAAGAGTCAAGCCAGGTTATTGTAGTAAACATAAGCAAATGTTGGTTAAGGAATTATCAGCTTCAAGAGTCATTCTGGATTGGGCACCAGGGAGGGGAGTAATTTACTTATTTGTTTAAAAGAAGGGTTTGGAGATGGGGAAATGGAGAAGCAAGTCTTACAAGGTAAACATAAGCAAGGTAAATCATAAAACACAAAGTAATGCCCTAATTCATGATGCTAAAAACAGGCGTTTCTCTTTTTGTTGCAGGATGGGTCAATTGGAGGGGCAGTGATCAGGTAAAATCAAAGCATTCCTGCTAAGCCAGTGGCCTTGGAGGGGCAGGCCGGGTAGGCAGAGGTCATAAATTCCACCATCCATCCCAAGCCGGGCATGGAGTTACAGGTTTCTGAGCGTTAGAGGCCAACTGGGGTCTCCTTGAACGCAAACAAGTCCCGGCCTGATTCAGGGACAGTAGTCGATAGCCCTTGGATTGGTGCCAGGCTGGCTCAGCGCTCCACCGTGGGAGCACGGGAGCAAACATTTCACCCCTCAAGATCCTAAGAGGAGGCCGTTTTGTTAAAGAGCACACAGAGCCAGGGATGGAGTTTCAGGATCGGCATATGATCTGGCCTTGGGTATTCCGTTAATAGCCCCCAGGCCTTGACCACCTGAGAGCCCCAGCGTACTGCCAACACTATGCAAAATGGAGCGAAATCGCGGACGCCTGGCCTGGGCTTTGTTCGCAGCATTGGGCTAAATGCGCTCGCTCCTGGCCTCCTCATTCCCTTTGCCCCAACCGACCAGAGGTGAGCTCTCTGCCAGCGGTCCGCCCCGGGGCCGCCGTGCTACAGGCTCCCCTTCCTAGGGCCGCTCAGAGATGCTCGCTCTGTCTAGAACCAGCATTCTGAGCCCAGCTCTATGGGTGGTGGGAGGCGGGAGCGGAAGATGCTGGAATGATCTTGGGATCAGGTTCTCCAGAAACCTGCCTGCTTTGCAAGGAGGCCTCCCGGTGCCAACCTCGACGCCATAGCCGGGAAGGTTCGGTCTGGCCGCCGGCGGGCTCTCTACCCTGAGCCGAGTCAACCCCCAGATATGCAGATCAACCTGCGAGGCTTGCGTGGATGCTTCGGCCCCCAAGAAGCTCATCCTTTCAGAACTGCGCCCTCACTCCAGCATTCACTGATCGCATTAACCAGAGAACCGCGCAGACCCGGCTCACCGCTGGAAGACGAGGTTGGGACTTGCTCGCCAGGGATCCGTACCCGCCCAGCTTTTCAGGCGCAGCAGTAAACTTGGGCTCGTAAGTGAAAATCCCACACGTTGGTAAAATAATATTCAGCCGCAATGTTAAAAATACAAGACGGATGCCTATCTGGGTGGCTGCCGGAGGCCAATTAGGAGGAGCCAAGGGCTCAGGGTTGGGGGTCTCCCTCCAGCGCCCCTCAGAAGACAAGAGGGGACGCGGCCGGCCCTAACCCGGGTTTTAAATTTCTATTGGGAAAGGGCGGGGCAACGCCGCTAGTCGGTTCTGTGAACGCGTGTGGTTTCCATGGTAACGTCCCTTCCAAGCCCCGGCCCCCCAAGTCAGCTCGGGGAAAAATGGGTGTGGTCCGAAGCACCAGAGGAAGCCACTTGCCCTCTCCTCACATTCTCCCTCTTGGCTAAGCAACACGGCGTGAAGCGGAAAGAACCCTGCCTGCGAGATCCCCTCAACCTCCCGGGTGTAGCCGGTGCCTCTAGATACGCAGCCTAGTGGGGTGTGGTCCCCCCAGAACGCGCCGGGTGTAGGGAGAGTTGTGCTCCCTCCGCTGCCAGGCGCACAGAACGCGGAGACCTCGAATCCCAGTCCTTAGGCCCGGCGGCCGCTTCCTGGCGCGCGGCCGGGCTCCGGGAGGCAGCCGCGCAGGGTCACGCCAGTTTCATGGGTGCCCTCGGGACTGTGACTCGAGTTCACCGACCCTAGCAAGCCCCAAGATCTAACAAAGGGCTGGGAAATGAGGGCGAAAAATGGGGGGGGGGGCTCCCTTATAGAATAAAAGCCAAAAAACCACGGCTGGCAACGCAGACCACGTAATCCCTACAAACAAAGCGGCGAGCCCCCGAGGAAGATCCTGGGTGAACGCCCCAGCAAGCCCGCAACAGCAAAACGCCAAAATTTCTGCGCTGATTGCCACCCTCCTCTCCCCACCTCCCACACTTTAATGACAGTCCCCGCCCTGTCCGCTGAAGCTCAGCCACCGGCTTGGAGTGGTACAGTAAAGATAGGACACGCCGCAAAAAGATGGCACCTCGCGTTCGGAGGGGAAAAAAAACCAGGGGTGTCAGTGGGAGGAGGCACAGCTTACCCTCCCCCTCCTCGCCCACCCAGATCCACACCCACTGCCGCAGTGAGGGGCGAGCCCTACGCGCCAGCCCCAAGCCTCCGGCAGGGAGCGCACATGCCGGACGCCCAGCGAAGGGCGCAGAGAAAGGGGCCCGCCCCGAAATGCACCTGCAACCCCCGCGCGCGTCTGTGCCGGGCTGCGGCTGTGAGCACCAACGAGCAGGGGTCTGCAGCTGCTGAGCCCTTCCACCTTGCAAGGCCAGGTGACCCCAGCCTTTCCCAGCCTCTACGTTGGGATCCGCGTACTACCTTCTCTCGCTCGGGCACGGCGCTCCTCGCGTCTCGGTGCCCGGCAAGCGCAGGGGGAAGGGCAACCAAAGTGACAGCGCCTGGACCCCTCCCCATCTCCCCGATTCCACTCCCAGCCCCCAAATGTCCCCTGAGGGTTTCTGAAGGAGGAAAACGGTAAGAGGCTGGGCCACCGCTTGAAATCAGGGGCAGGGAAAGCCCCACGGAATCGCTGTCGGAGATTTGGGAGGGGCAGGCAGGGAATCATCTTTTCTAGAACCCAATCCTTTAGGGCTGATGGCAAACCGGGCAGAGAAATCGAATTACAGGTCTGGTTTTGGGGGTCGTCATTGGACACCCCCCGCCCCTCACACACACACATAAGACACACGCCCATTGCGGCAAAAGGCGGCGATCGGGAGTGCATAACAGCCCTCTCCCCCAGGTCACCGCCATCCGTGCCCCACCCTCCGGGCACAACCTCTACCCGGGTCCGCGCGAAGAGGGTCGAGTGTACCCCCGTCGGCGCGCGCGCGCGCGCACACACACACACACACACACACACACACACATTCTCACACGCGTGCGTGCATCCCTTGCATGGATCCCTTTACAAGCCGCCCTATCCCAGTCCCTGAGTGCCCAGGGCATAGGGAAGGGTTCCCCGCCTCGCCCCCGACCAATGCTCACCTCATGAAATCCATCTCTGTGGCGGGGGACGAGGGGCGGTGGCATGGAGTACAGGGGGCGCGGACCAGGAGGCAGATTTCGAAGCCTCGCGCTTACCTGATAGTCGACAGAGGGCGAGGACAGGAGAGGAAAGCAGAGGAGAAAGTGGCTATGATGGTGGCGGCAGAAGGTGGGCGGCGGCGGTGGCGGCGGCGGCGGCGGCGCTTCTGCTGGTGCGGGAGCTGGTGGGTGGCGGAGACTGCGGGCGCGCGCACCGGGGAGAGAGCGCGCTCCCGAGCCGGCGGGCGGCGCACGCGCGAGCAGCGGGAGCGCGAATCTCCCCCGGGGCAGGGAGGGCTGCTAGACCTCCGCGGGCGTCTTCTCCTCCGGCCACCAGTGGGCGCGCGCGAGCGCCCCGCCGCTCGGCCGTCCCCCGCCTTCTGGCTTGCTCCTCTCGGCGTTTCTCTTTCCCGGTCTTCAGTCCCTGGAGGCCTCGGGCCGCGGCTCTGACCTCCACGCGCACGCGCGCACATTGGCGCACGCGCACTGTGGGTCTCCTCTCACCGCTGGAGCCTTTGTCTTCTTTGAGGGTTCTCCTCCCTCGGGAGGGAGGCTCAGTTGCTTCCTGGGGTCGGGAAGAGGCTCCGCCCACAGCTCTGCTGTCTCCTTCCAGCGGTCCTTGGGTGATGTCCTATCTCGGAAAAGTCCTGGACGGGGTTCCACATGCAGGCCTCGTCCAGGCTCGTGCTGCGGCCGCTGGCCAGGCACCCAGACCCTCCCCTGAGTCTCCTGAAATGGTCCCCCTTGTCGGGGATCAGTTTCCCTGGGTCTTCCTTTCAATTTGTTTTCTTTCCATTTTTTTTTTGTTACTGACCAAGGTGAATTCTTTCTTTAGCGAATCCACTTAAACAGGCTCGGTTGTAATGCAGTAGTACAGTTTTTTATTTTTAAACAAAGAGCATTCGAATCTGTTAAACCTTGACTTTAGAATTAAATTTAAATTGGATGAGGGTTCAAATAGTGCTTATCGCATTGCAGAGCATTTTCACAATTATTTTTATCTTATTTGTTGAAAAAATACCGTTATACTGTAAGTAGAGCTTGAGATCTGAATTTCTAAGTGCCTGCTGGAGATTCTCACCTGGATGGCACACCTCAGACTGAAACTGACCGGAAGCTTCCATTCTCCTAGTCACCTGCGCACACCCACTCCACCCCTCCCTCACCTCACGGGATTTGGGGGCAGCTATTTTGTCATGGGAGGATGAGAACTTGTCTTAAAGATTTAATTTACATAACACACACACACACACCTATAACCAACATTGTATGTTGTGGATTAATACAAAAAACAGGTTATTAAGATGCTTTATTTACATGGTTTAGTTAACATTATTATTGGGAATACTGGGTGGGTAAGGGAGACAGGGGCTAATTTCTTAAGCCACTGGTTCTGAGTCTCTGGAATTGACCTTTTTGTTGTTATTCTAACTGCCATCATCCTGGTTAAAGACCGCTGCATTGGTTCTGGACATGGAGTGACATCGCTGGTCTCCCAGCTTCCTGTTTCTCCCCATCTCAGATCAGTTTTGCACTCCCTAGTTGGATCAATCTTCAGAAACAGTGATTTAAATCATGGCACTCTCTTGCTCAAAAATACCTAAAGGTTCCAACTGTGCCCAAGTGAAATTGAACTCTTTAGCCTTAATCTCAGCATTCAAACCTCCCCACTACTAACCTGACCCCCTAATCTGAGCCTTTGTCCTCTCCAGGTTTCCTTCATCCTGCATAGGGCCAACTGAGCTTGTTTGATTGGAACTCTTCCCCCTCCCTTTCTCCTTATCCCTCCTTTTTGCTGAAATAGAAATCTCATGGCCACATTCAGCCCACCATCCCTACCACACAGAACCATAGAAGGCAGAATGGCATAGGGATTGGACTGGGTTCAGAAGAGTTGGGTCCTCATCTTAGCCATATTGCGTGACCTTGGACCAATTCATTAACTTCTCTGGGCTTCAATTTCTTTATGCAATAGTGTTCCAGGGAGGATTAGAACTCCAGATTCACAATTTGGGCTCTCTGCTATCAAATCTATTCACATACTGTTTCAGTCAAGGTAAGCTAACTGTTGTAACAAAACAATGGCATAAACACAACTCTCCTAATGTCTAGGGGGTAGTATTCCAGGTAGGTGGGTGACCTCCTCCTTGTAAGGCTCGGAAACCCAGGCTCCTTTCATCTGTAGCTCTGCCATCTCTTAAAGCCTTTGCATGGTTAAGGTTGGGCCATTGCACATGGGGTCCAGCCTGCAAAGGGGGAAGGATCAAATGGAGGAAGCATGCTGGCTCTCCTAGAGGCTGGAAATGTCTTTAAATCAACATCTACTGTTAGGATTTAGTTACATGACCACCCCTAACTGCAAGAGAGACCAACAAATGTAGGAGAGTTTTGTGCCCAGGAAGAGGAGGAGAAAGGATTTGGTGCAAGGTAAACTGTCTATGCACTGACTTACACGGGAGGTAAAAAAAGATCCATGGGAAAAGATTCTGAACTTGTCTATCATGAGATTCTGACATATGTGAATATATCAGCAGACCTTGAGGGGGTTGTGGTAACTAGAGAGAAAGATAAAAGCCAGATTTCAAATTAAGTTCCTGCGAGAGAAGGCAGCAGTGTAAACCTCTATAGCAGAGGCTTTATTTATTTATTTGTAATTAATTTTATTTATTTATTTTGCTATCATTAATCTACAATTACATGAAGAACACTATGTTTACCAGGCTCCCCCCTTCACCAAGTCCCCCCCCACCCCACTACAGTCATTGTCCATCAGCATAGCAAGATGCTGTATAATCACCACCCGTCTTCTCTGTGTTGTATAGCCCTCCCGATGCCCCCCCCACAACACTATACATGCTAATCGTAATGCCCCCTTTCTTTTTCCCCGCCCTTATCCCTCCCTGCACACCCATCATCCCCAGTCCCTTTCCCTTTGGTAACTGTTAGGCCATTCTTGGGTTCTGGGATTCTGCTGCTGTTTTGTTCCTTCAGTTTTCCTTTGTTCTTATACTCCACATATGAGTGAAATCATTTGGTACTTGTCTTTCTCCACCTGGCTTATTTCACTGAGCATAATACCCTCTAGCTCCATCCATGTTGTTGCAAATGGTAGGGTCTGTTTTTTCTTATGGCTGAGTAATATTCCATTGTGTATATGTACCACATCTTCTTTATCCATTCATCTACTGATGGACACTTAGGTTGCTTCCATATCTTGGCTATTGTAAATAGTGCTGCGATAAACATAGGGGTGCATCTGTCTTTTTCAAACTGGGCTTATAGCAGAGGCTTTTTAACCTTTCTCATGCCATGGAACACTTTGGCAGCCTGATGAAGCCCCTTCTCAGAAGAATGTTTTTAAATGCATAAAATAAAACACATAAGATTACAAAGAAAATGCATTATGTAGTTATTAAAATATTTAAATATCTATGATATGGTATATGACAGATATTCCATATGAAATCCATAAGCAATGTGCTAAAAGAGGGGCATCAATATAAAAGGTTGAGAGAAACTCTTTTCTGTAGGTCAGGCCTGCATGGGAGAAGTTCTTATAGAATTAGGCCTATTGAGAGCAATGGGAATGATAGACCCCCAAAAAGAGAGGCCAGGTGTGGCCTATAACTATCTGTGTAGGTGCAGGGTTAATCTTATCTCATTTGTTGCAACCCTGAGTTCATCTTCAGGGGGATCCTAAAGAAATAGTGCTGACACTGGATCCATCCAGAATGGAATTAAACTAGTGATCAATGTAGCTCTGTGCTGAGTCCAAAAATCACTAGGGACAGTCTGTACCAGCTTGTCATAGTTGTTTATAGAAATTGTACAGATTGATTGTTCACACCTGGTTTCTGTTATGTAAATTTAGTTTACCTTATTAAGTCCAATCATGCAGGCTCTTTTGGCCATGTAAACAGAAGGATTTTAAGGACCCACCCTTAGATGAGACTGTAGCCTCTCTGAAACTGAGGCATTTTAAACATATCCTAATGGTTTATGATCTTAAGATGAAGAATATTCTATGTGACTGACAGGAAGCTGCACATGGATGTCTTGGACATCTCCAATGTTTGCCTGTGATTTCTTGATCTTACTATGTTATTTCCTTTATTTTTATTAACATCTTACATGACTGTACTCTCCAGGGTCTCATAAGTCTTTCATTAATCCAAAGAAGTATAATTGGTGCACCATCAGAAGCCATGTGGACAGAAGCATTTATCACAATGACTGTTGAGGTTGAAGTGGAGGCCGACAGGCCTGACCTACAAAGAATTAGGGAATTGGGTAACACAACACAGATTCCCTGGGGGCAAAAGAGACAGGCAGCCAGAAAGGGTATTATTTAACTCATACCATCAGAAGAAATCAAGGATGAATGGTCAGGAAGCCAAGTCAGTCACCCCAATAAAAAGTCACACTCCCCTGCCTGGTTTTCAGACATGAGCCAGTTTTCAGATCCAGAACCAATTGATTGAAAGGAGGCTGGTTCCCCATTAAGCAGGACCTGAAACACTATGGTAAATATATTCTGGGGAAAGAGGAATACCCAAGTATTTTGAGGACTCTTGGACACAGGGTCTGATTTGACACTGATACTGGGAGACCTGCAGTATTATTACGGCGTTCAGTAGAGTGTAGGCATATGAAAGCTGGGCAATAAATGAAGTCCTGGCCAGGGTCTGGCTGATAATGAGTCTGCTGGGTCCATAGGCCCCATCTAGTAGTCCTCATTTCTGTGGTTTGTATCTCTGACTCTGACGCTCAGGTTTCCCTGTTTCATTTATAATCCTTATGGTTACGTTGGGCCTACCCAGATAATCCAGGATAATCTCATCATTGAAAGATAATTAATTTAATCACAGTTTCAATGTCCATTTTTCCATATAAGGTAACATTCGCAGGTTCCAGGTCATGAACATCCTTGGTGGGGGCATTATTCTGCTTACCACAGAAGGGCAAGGCGACAATGACACTCCCCCCACCCCCAGGAAAGAGGGCCTGGGTCATGCAGTCAGGTAAGCCCTGAGACTAACAGAGATGGACCATAGGATGAGGGGAATCTAGAATGGATAGTGGAATGGGGAGATGAGTATCAGTTGTGAGTCCAAGACCTGTTACAGCTGTGGGGGACTGAAAGTTAAGAGAGAAAACTAACCTTCCTGTTTTCTAAGTTTCCTCCAAGAAGAGAGGCCCACTGCGATACTGAAAAAGCTGCTCCCTGAATGTGTATTAAAAAGTGGGTCTGAATGGTGCAAGGGATGGATGGTGATGGACTTGGAGAGGTACTGCCTAGATCCCCTCTAAGGAAGGACTTGTTGCCCCACCTACTCGTTGTACTGTCAGCTGATGGCTTGCAGTTGTCATACCTTTCAGGGATGGCCTCAGCTGCAGAGAG